TATTTCAGCTAAGCGGCCGCCTATGATCCTCCTTAGACGGTCAGACGCATGTATCACTTGTTTCTTGTATTGTCCCATTGGTTTATCTTCCGCTGACGAATGGCCATGCTCTCACTTGACAGGGTGCTTCCTTTTTTTAAAAAAAAGGTTTTCCTCGTAATATGTTACTTTTAAGTCTGTGGAGCAGTAGATTCGTTTGATATTCGGAGGTCTTTGAAAGATTTCTGGCATTTGACCTGATACTTGTAACTTTTCTGATCCTTCTTTCAGACCTGATGCAAAATCACGCTAATATCATGAGTGTGTGTACTGTACGAATCTATACGTTATTTTATAGTATCAGCCAAGGCGCTTGACTTTAAAACGAACTGATGAAATTCTCAATGAACTATTTTTTTTCGGAAGACTGCATACTGAATCGTATACTTCAAAAAGTTGCATAATCTTCAGGGGGAATGGCCTCTTTTCAGTAGCATCCACTGAGGTTGACGAATAACATCATTGCACGAGATACTTTTACACAATTCTGATTCTACTATTCAACCAAGATAAAGTGCCGGAGTGATGGTTTCTTTCACCGTGCCCCAAAAGATGACAAGTGAAAAGACTTGGGAACCACTGGATTACAAGAAAATCCAGAAATTACACTGGGGATAGAACAAATGTGTTGATTGGCTGATTCCTCATGTTAGCTTTGGATTTTCGCTGGTATCTACATTACCAGGTCTTCACGCCTCTGTATACTACCGTTGTGGACCCTGGTCTATTCACTCAAGCGAGCATAACGGGGAATGTCGCCGTATCCCTTTTCTGGAGGCGTCTGTTTTCTAAGGATTACTGTATTAGTCAAGGTTCACATAACGGAAGTTCATGTTTGGAATCAGACGTCCGAAATAAGTGTTTATTAGTCGTGTGTCCATTTGGTGCTGTAGACTGAAAACACGAATTTCGCGCCCTGTTTTTTTTTGTATAGACTACTCGGGGGGGGTGGTTGGAAGTTGGGGGATGATACCTCATGTTTGGAATCAGACGTCCGAAATAAGTGTTTATTAGTCGTGTGTCCATTTGGTGCTTTAGACTAAAAACACGAATTTCGCGCCCTGTTTTTTTTTAGTAGAGACTACTCGGGGGTGGTGGTTGGAAGTTGGGGAATGATCTCTCAACCGCGTCAATTCCGAGCCAAGTCTGACGGTACCGCTGGAGCGTAGTGGCCTCAGTGTGTAGTGAGGTGATCTCTCAAATATGGTTTCAGCTGCGTCAGTTGTGCACCCTACTCTGCTCTTGTTCTTGGGCTCCGGCCCGTGTGAACAAAAATTCGTTGCAGATAGCAGCGTGGCCTTCGGTTTTGGTCGCTTGCCCTAATTAGCTCCCAAGCTTCTCAAAACCACTGGCTGTTTGGAACTCAGGCATACTCTTGATCTCATCCTCGCTGTAGGTGCTCAACACGGGGCAACACTGAAGGTGCTTCAGAGCTTCGTACTAGCGCTTTTGTCATAGCTACTATCTGCGTTTGAGATTGTCCTGACCTCAGGCCTCTAACAGGGTCTGCTTGCCAAAGCGTATGCCACCATCTTAGTTCACCGGGGCCTAGCAACCGCATTGCCATGTCCTTTTGCACCACGTTAGAATCCAGGTCGCAAGCCCTAAGGTGTGCATAGAACAGGAATAGCTGCAACCAACCTACTGTGCTTTTTTGGTTCATGTTGAGTCTGATGTTGCTACAACAGCGGACTTATGGGCTGAAGGCCCGTCCGGTCGTCCATGAAAGTTAGGGGCATTCATTTGAGTGCGTCCCAGCTTTCAAACGTCCTAACAAATTCACTGGCGTGGAAACAGAGAATGAATCCCTTTCGGTAATATCGCGGAAACAGACATTTTTATTTGTAGCTGAGTTCCGGGCGTCTCTCGCAAAAACAAAGTTGCTTCCAGATGAGTGTGATTCGCTAACTTTCCTACTTTTGTTTTATTCTGACCTCCAATCAAGTAAACTTCGGAATCAGAAGACAGTTTAGGTGATTCAGAATGTTCTATCTTAGTAAGAAGAGAAGCCTCACACGGGCAGTTGCTTTCTGTAATACCCGCACATCCTTTGGACTCGCGGCAACTTTTGGCAACTTTCTTCTTGTGTTTATCACACATTCTCAACGATCACCGCAGGCCTGTGATCTGACACCAGGCCAACCCCTTGTATGGTTTACTCGGGAGTACTCGCTTGAAATCACTTCTCTTTCTCATATCTGTTCAGATTTTTCTGGGTCTAACAACACATGAACTCAATATGTGCATCCTACGGGAGAACGTTGTGAAAACCAAGTAAGTCTAATTGAACTAATTGGACTAATTGAACGTTTTCACACGCAGTGTCCATCTAAAAAAATTGAAACAAATTTACTTCCGCCTCGACTGGTGTTTGTTCGTCAGAGCTGGTTTACAGAAAATGGAAAGGTCGTTATAAGAGTCCCTTGTTGAAGTAGTAATGCACATAAAGAACGCCCATGGTAACTGAAACGTCCTGATGTTAATACTGCTAATACTATGTTTTAGAGGTTGGCCGCTCTGAGTAAGAATGAAGGTAAACAGTTCAATTCCGCAATGGGGGGTTGTCACGTGGCAATACTTACTGAAAATGTATTGTCAGGTTGTACATTCAACAGAGTGGGGTAAATGGACGGAGCAGGCTAGCCCTGACGAATATTCCCCGTGGTAGCAGCTAGCCGCATTCAAGAATACCGATTGGATGGTTGTTTATACTGTGACACGTGGCCGTCCCTAGTCAGTGGACAGAAGCCAGGTGGAAACGACAAGGCAAAGAACGGTGTCGTCTGTGATGGTGATTCAGCTTTTGGTGCCCAGCTGCCATGCTACCCGAAAGAAGCACTTTCGGCAGATACTGCCAGGTTGCCCAACCCTAGACAGGTGCAGTAGAGATGCGTATGTCTGAATCGAACTACGAATATTCCGGTCAGTTAGATCGCGCCGTAACCACTGAGCCCTATCGCGTTCGGTAGGAAGAAAGTGAGTGGATGAGCTCTTGCGCGGAGATTCTGAATTGTGAACGCGCGGCTATGAAGACGCGTCTGAATACAGCAGCCTTTCAGGAAAATTCCAAGACATTTCATCGGTTTTGGAAGTTTTGCAAACAAACCCACGTTAGACACGACTGAATGCTTTCGAACCATCCAGATTGATTTTATTTCGCCAACCAAGTGGAGGAAATGACCGTACATGTAACAGCTGAGCGTTTCGCCTATGGAGCGGTGTCATCATCATCATAAATCTGCTGAAAGAACCGCGTATTTGTCGTACAATGGTAGCTGCCACAGCTTTGTTCACCGCTGATTTGGGGAGGTGGTGTAGGTAGCTGCGCATTGGAGGCGAGAGGTGGTAAATTGGTACGTAAATACAGCACTGTTAGTGGACTGTCAGTTGGGTGAATCGGGAAGGGAGCTATGCATTGAAGGCAATAGCTTGGATGCACGAGCTCCATTGAGGGCGCGACTGGGCCATGTCTGACAATGTCTATAACCATTGATATGGCCCGTCTTGGGGTCCCTATCCATGAAGGCGGCTACGACCAGAGCAGCTGAGTTTGCTGGTAATTGCCTTTATACTTCGCTGCCAAGTCATTGTTTAACCGCCTCTGGCTCTCTCCAACCCTTCACGTGGTTGTGTGAAAAGAGCCCTTCGAGGAAGTCGGTCGACTGGCATACGCGACACGTAGCCAAGCCAGCGCAACCTGTGCAGTGTGATCAGTTCATCTATCGTGGGTGAGTTATTTCTTCCAGATACCATTAGACGAACTTCAGCATTTGTGATCCGGTGTTCCAACCAGACTCGGACAATGCTCCGAAGACATCGATGGTTAAACACTGAAAGTCTTTTGACATCCTCGGTGCGCAGCGGCCAGGTTTCTGATCCGTACAGTAATATGGAGCGCACCATAGCATTGTAAACTCGACCCTTGACGGATATGCTGATGTCACGCTTACACCGCAGGTGACGCAGGTTCACAAAAGGTGCTCTGGCCTTCCCGATCCGGATAGAAATATGATCTTTCGCGGGGCCACGGGGACTAATACAGCTGCCCAGGTAAACAAATTTGTCTAGTACCTAAATCGGCTCATCCGCCAGCATGAGGCCAGGGTTCGAGCCCACCCAGTCTTGCAGTAGCACTTTACACTTTGTAGGTGTGCTATTTTTGACCAACTCAGCCGCACCCTACACAATGTGTGGGACGTGTGCAAAAGCGACTGGCTATCGGTATTCATGTGAACATGACAGTCCTCGTAGCAAACCTCACCACCCGAATCTCTTTGGTGCGTCGTACGATCGGATACGGATAGGTCTTGCTGTCACAAGATAGAAGACAGGCTGTTCTGCATTGTCTGCATGGGTCGTCTTCCGGATGAGGATATCTGAATAACCATACCAGTTAATTCATGATGTGTCATCGGTTGATATATCTGTGAAGTCGAAGAGCATGTTTTTGGTCATAGCCAGCACAGCAGGTAGATGTAATGAGGTAGGCAGTAGAGGGTTTACATAGTCGGGAATGCGTTGTACACAGCACGTGCTAGTGGCGTTACAATTTTGGTCTGCGAAATTCCATAAACTGGGAAATTGGCAGTTTTGTAACGCCAAGGCTCATTTAAAAACCTTGATGGACGCTGCCATTCGAATATTTGAATTGGGAGCTGTGTAGCAGGTCTAAATTCAAATCCACAGCTTATAAAAGACGTATTGATAAATCACGTGGCCAGAATATGTCAAGCTAGGTAGTAGTTTTGAAACATGTGAAGAACCCACGTGAACTTGGTGGGAATTGATTGTGTGCATTATTTGGTGATGATTGTGACCCACGTTCTCAGCATCTAGCCAGGTTGTCATATATTTGCTACCATTCCCGTTCTTGACATGTGCAAATTCGTTCCTTTTTGTTCAAACGATTCGGTGGATATTAGGATCCGTAGCCTAATCTTTCTGGTTTTGTCCTCATCAGGCTCATTGTGGGATAAGTTTGAGAATAGAGGATGGGTCTTTATGAGAGATCTCATTATAACACAGCCCAAATTCCAAGTAATGGCTGTGTTGGTTTTTCAAGCAACTTGTTGACTTATGCTCATTTCCACACACAAGTTAAAATACAACCACTGGCCGGTGGAAACAGATTATCAGTTCAGAGAAATTGGGATTTGGAAAGTAGAATTTGAAGTGCTAAGGGTATAGAAGTCCACAGTGTCGGCTCCTCTTCTTCTAATTTGGGAAATCCCTAAGTCATATACTGCTTGTCATTCTTTTAGGACATGTGTGGCAGATCAATTACCCTTCTGCGTGACGTACCTTTCTGTTCTGCGTGAATACATTGATTGTGAATTTGAAGCACTGAAAGTGAGTCACTATCGTTCTATAGATTCCTCTATTTACTGCTTAGCCTATTAACATTGTAGCAATTTAGGTTGCATGTTGAGCTATTATATTTGTGCATTCATTTCATATTATTAAGGTAGTTGACGTAACTGGTTCCTCATTAGAGTTTTTTTCGGTTGCCCTGCTCGTTTTCATCTCCCTTCTATAAACTTCCCATGTCTATTTTCGTCCAACTCATGTATTCGATAGCGAAATCCGTTTTTGAAATCCATACTTCCGGGGTACTATCACATTTTTGTCAAAGGTACATCCGAAATTATTCACATTTTGTTGAGTTTCGTAAGACGGTACACAATCAGAAGTCGGCCACTAATGAATGTGCTCTTGACCGCGTCATCTTGGAACCAAACTAGTTCGGCCCTCTTGACTGAACAGATAGATGATCTGGTGCTGCGGTGTAATGGTGATTGCGATGCTGTCTAAAAGATCTGAAACACCCATGCTTTCACCGCCATCATCATCGTCTAACGATTACCGATCAGGATGAAATTTCTCCTCCTAGTGCACCACCATAGAAATATGTACAGATTTACGGGGATTAGGTCCCTACTTATTGCAGGCGTTGCTCGATCCTATTCATCTTTCTTGAAGGGAAATGGACAGGCTTCCCTTTCATTGAGTCCTTCCTTGCAACACTCCATATACCTTCTACATAGTACTACGTAGAGTGCTGTACACTTAGTCTAGGCGCCATAATTCTGTTTCATCAAGGTGGTTTGAATTTGTTTTAGATTTTCAAGTCTTTTTTGAGTCCACTGGGCGTATCTTCTGTTAGGTATTTAGTCTGCACCGTTAGGCTGTATGAGTTGTTAATTTGCGTAGCATGTTTGTTTGTTTGTATTCAGCGTCCAGTTTTCATTAAGTTATTCGACAAGGCGTAGATGTCAACTAATAGCACGGTGCCTCGATTGTTTTGGTTTCGTTTTCTCGGTACCTATCCAATCTGATGAATTGTCAGAACGCTTCTCGGTCATCAAGTAATAAACTCAACAAAATATGGTCTTGTTTCAGAACTCTTTGCCGTTCCCCTACGATTTGGAACGTATTGTGGACGACTGGATTTTCATGGCTTTCCTTTTGGGCAATGACTTCATACCCCACATACCCAATTTGCACATTCATGCCGAGTCGCTCTTGGTTTTGTGGGACACCTACCATGTTGTGTTGCCCCAACTGGATGGTAAGCAATGTCCAATTGGCTACCTCGCTCCATCAGCCTGCTCAATACTCTCTTACCTGTAAACCTATCGCCTCAGACTTACAATCACTTCACCGCTTTTTGTTGATATTCACGTGGATACAGCTGAACTCGCACTTTCATGCCTTACAGTCTTACTTCACGGTCTGGAGACGTTTAGATTATGCTTTTATGGGTCCTTGAACGTCTTCCGAAATTAGCGAGTGGCTCGCTTACGATACCTTTACAGTTATGTCAGCCTCCCGATTTTCACATGAGCAGTCAGTCAAGAATTAAATGTTTCAGGTGTATTTGTTGTTGTCGTTTTTAGTCACATATAAGTTGGCCAGATGATCGGGCTTATTAAAAGGCTTGGTAGTTATCTGGTCCTGCACGCGAATCACCGAAATTGACCAACAATTAACTAACCATGCATCCAGAAGCAGTCAGACGGATAGGTTCATCCGATGTGTCGAAATATTGGTAGCTCGGGTGCGTTTACTGGTGTTAGGTCAGATGGCCGTCGATCTGTTCGCCCAGTTTGGCTTGCGTGTACAGATTAACGACCATCTGTTGATCATCCAAGTCAACCATCTCATTAGTGTATACCATGTGCACAAACGAAGCTGCTGACTCCGTTAGGCATGCCGAAAGCATTTACTCAGATATCCACCTGTTGAAACTAAGAGCATCGCAGCTATCACAATTAATGTGAACTGTACTAGTCACTATTTTGCCGTTTGAAATTTAGGTCGATTTCATGTTAATCACCTGGTTGAACCTGCCTATCTTTCTTGCTGATGAACAATACTAATGGCTAGAGTCAGTGTGAGATGTACAGTTAATTGGCAACCTACGAATCGAACTGGAGTGGAGTAGATTCCCTGTGGAGGTTAACGTGCTCCTGAGCAGTATCGTGGAAGAAATCAACGGTCATCATTTAGAACGTAACGCCAGCCGGACTGAATGTCGGATTACTTATCAACTGTAATTGTGCCATCATCGCTTGCATTTTATAAAGTAGTTGGATCTTGAAAAGTACACTGTTTGGAGACTGATTTTTTCCGTCACTGAAGCTTTCTGTTTTCGCAGTCAATAATTCCTACACCGGTTTCCCACATTTCAGGTTATCTTGTAGAGTATGGGCGCTTGAATTTGCCGCGATTTCATCGCTATATCGAAGAATTGTCAAAAGTGAGTTATCCATCTTTTGGTTGGCATATGCACGTCAAACCAAACTAATTGTTCTAGGGGTGCCGAACTACCATGTCCTGTTACAGGAGATACTCGAACACTGTGTTTGTCTCTCTATATCTCTGAATCATTTACTATTTTTGTATATGCGGAAATACGATAGGTAGTTTTTAGGCAAGTCAGGTGGTTTTTTCGAAAAGTAAATTCTTTCACCGTAAACGAGGTGCTCACACTGACTATATTTGCTAGATGCTTTAACTCGCATATCAGTGGAGTGTGTAATTTGCTTAGCTCTATAAAAATGGTGTCTTTCAACCCGGATCCGGCAAGCCCTAATCAGTAAACGCAGTCTAGTTGACAACAGCACCTCACTTGACGATGATGCCGGTAGATGTGACACAGTTCCCCAGCCGATGGCCTTCAGTTCTTAGCTATCTTACTTCTCATCCCATGAGAACGACTCCACGCCAACGAATTGGGTCAGGTCATCATCTCCAATGCCTACCAACCTATCTTCGTTCCCATATTTCTCGACCAACAAACCTGTAATAGCTGAAACCAGATTGCCTTTGGTACACGGTCGCTGGCTGACTGACCCATCGGAAGAAAGACGTTGCTACTTACTGGGGTTCGAGACTCTCGGCTTTACTTAGCTGTTCACTTATTCAGACAGTTACTTAACTACTACCGAATTTTTGAAATGTTTCACCTGGTCAGTGTTTCATCCACTCGGAAGGCCTGATAGTCATCGTTCTATGAGATTTGGTTCTGATTCCATATCGATATTTGAGACGTAGTCGTATATTGGCACATCTAGCTGCATGGGTGTTTTCGTCCTTATTGTGATCTATCTTATAGACAGAGGGAGGTCGAACGCGTGACATCTTGGTTGCACTTTCAAGCTGTTCTGCAAAAGGCCGTTTGCGCCCAACCGGTTTGCACAGGTAGAGAATTTCGAATGCGTTTAACCGTCACGAAGAGACTGAACCTTTTCCTGGTGCGACTGTTTGTGTACATCCGCGACCCATTGAGCTTACTTGGGTGGGGGTTCTGTGTGACACTCAGCTAGTCTCTCATACTAGGTTGCTTAATGGTTAGAGGCCTTATTGACACAGTATCCTGGTCCTTCACCTACAATACTGGCACAGTATCCTGGTCCTTCACCTACAACCGTGAACTGTACATATACAACTAAACTCATGCCCCTTGGCGTGGTGCCATTAGTCGGTTCGCCTTACTTCCTTCAGATAGCAGGGCGAGTAAGCGAAAACGGACTAATGCTGATAACTCCATGTTTCCCCTTTCGCATACTTTTTCTCCACCCCTCCTTGCACATCATTAACAACTGCTTGTAGGTCCAGCACTTAGGACTGATGACTCCGTTCGTCCTGCATCGGTTTGACAGGCAACAGCTGGGCGTCAGTTGGTGCTCAAATCTTCAGGCAGCTCGAGATCAAACTCAAAGCTTGGACAACCAGTCTACCTGGGCACCTTCATTGTCTGTCTGCACTATGAAGCAAGCACGTCAACAAGCTGTTCTTCCTCTCACACGACTCAGTTGGCATTGATGTGTGCTGTGTCTCAGAAACAAGAATTCAAGATGCAGGCACCGTGATTGAGCTGACCACCTCATCACTATCCTCTCGCTTCTGATTACTCTAGCGATCCAAAGACTGCGGCGACAGGTTCAAGGGTTAGTATCCTCCTGAGGCGCCGAGTGAAAGGATCCTTACTTGACTAGGTACCCGTTGATAGTCGCCTCTGTGTGTTTCGTATGGCAACTTCCATATAGGAGTCTCACGAAGAGGAAGTTGATTGACTTCTCTTTATCGTGTCTGCTTACGCTCCAACCGAATATAGCTCTGACACCACCAAAAACAGGTTTTATGACCGCTGAATGCCCTGTTGCAGCAAGCTAAAAGCTCAGAAATCGTGGTGGGTGCCGGAGATCTGAATGCACAAGTGGACAGGCTTACGCATCTGCGACTCAATTAGGTGGTCGGAATAGATGGGACTCGGCACGTATTGATAATGGTGAACGATTTCTTCCGCTGTGTATTGTTTGTTTGCAGTACTAACGTCCGAAATAGACAAGGTCATATTGTCACATTGCATCCTCCAACAGCGTGCTGGCTACGAACTCAAATTGATCACACTGCCATCACTTACTGACTGCGTGGATCAATAACCGTCTACCGATCATCATCATCATTGTCAGCTGTAAGAACTGCATACTTGTACACTGGTCGTAGCTGCCACAGTTTTGTTCACCGATGATGTGCGGCAGAGAAGTTTCAGTGTTAACCACTGATGGCATGCTGTCGATGAACGGTGATGATGATGAATGTGTTTGAAACATTTGATTCCTACTAGCTGCTGGTCTATTCTGACAATCGTCTGATCGAAATTCTCACACCTAGTTGAAATTCCCTCAGCTATGCAAACCGGTCAGCGGGTGTGGAACTTGGGAAGCAGCCTGAACCTGCTAACCCACCCGACGGTTTGGAATAACTACAAAAATGCTCGCGCGTCTGGGTTTTTCAGGATCCGAGGTTATGTTCACCTAACCTAAACCCAACCTCACCCAACCTAAACTAAACACGGTTTCTATGTTCATTCTAGCATGTACCGACCGATAACTTAGCTCTTCTCAGTGTTGGGGTTCCTATCGTTGTTGGTTCATCTTGTTCTCTTTCAGAGTTAAGTATATCTGGTTGAATGTCACTTCAGCGCAGTGATTAGACTTTTAGGGTGCCAGTGAGAATCACTACCGTTATCAGCTGTTTATTGGCTGTAGAAATCATAAAGATATAATAATAGCAACATCCTGTACAACGCTGCTTCTCTGGGTGAAATTTCAAGATAGCTACAAAGCTTTGGGTTTGTCTACTGGTATGTAGAGAGAATCTTTGTCAGTGCACAGCTTGTTCCCGCTGTCGGGTAAAGAGTGCGATTGCCGTTTAGTTTATCACAAATCGTTATCAGCCTCCAACCATAAGACGGTTTGGTGCAATGTGTTTGCTACTTTTATGTTTCAATCTGGTGGCCCGGAAGGCAGGACTAGCCGAGAAGTGATTCCTCGCCCTTAAGTTAACAGTTCGACTTTGTTCAGCTGAGTCACCCTGCATGGTTGACTAGTGTTACTCTCCAGATTGCACTTGTCCCTACTTCTCATGTACGCATATCTCGAGATAGCTCGGTGATTGAGGTGCCAGCGTATGGACCGGAAGGTCCCTAGTTCGAATGGAACCTCAGCATCTCAACTGCTCCTGTCTAGGCCTGGGTAACCTGACAGTGTCCCAACCCTCGGGCTTCCTTCCGTTGGTTAAGGTAGCCAGGTGCCGAATGAGTGCTACAGCTGAACAACTTTATTTGGCTCGACGCAAATCGCTCGTTACTTAACGTTTTAGGCGCAACTATATTCTCTCCCGAATTTATGTTTGGGTGATATTGAGATCGATTCTTTGTGCGTTCGTACAGTTTGAACAGTCCTGGTTTGAAGAACGAGAAGCTGATTATCGTTGGATGCGTGGAAAGCGTGGGGCGCAAATGGCTCGAGAGTTGGCAACGCTTGGTGATACAGTTGGGTCGACTGAACAGAACCAGGTGAACACTACCTCTAACCCTTCTAAAGAACCCTCTTCCAACTCATCCGACTCGAAACCCAGGAAATCAATCGAAAATGGTAAGTAGAAATCCGTTTCTCAGACTTTGAGTCTTCAGTTGTTAGTTATATCCACTACGGATGCCTTGACCATCCGTTTGACATTCTTTATGTTCGGTTGGCAGGTCATTGGGCAACATTTAGAAGTGACCTAGAAGTGACCGATGATGCGTGCCATATGCGAGATAAAACGCACCTTACCAAATAAACATTCGTGAAAGACGTCGCTCGTCATGTTTTCATTTGAAGCTAGATGGATTTCAGACTACCGTTCTCTTTCTTGATGTAGCGTATCTTATCCGAGAATGAAAACAGATTAGGACCCAACGACCTTGTTTTCAACTTTGAGGAGCTCCCCGTTCAGGGCTGTGTTCTTGACAGGCAATAGGTTTCATCGTACTGCCCGCTTGAACACCGGAGTTATTACCTTAGCTGATATGTATAAAGGCCTGTGGAAAGTAAGACCTTTGATTAATAACATAGATGCTAAATAGCTGGAATTAATCCACCATACTTACTGTTAGAAATCTCAATCTGTTCGAAACCACAGTGCCGCTAGTGTCCGAAGGCCACTTCTACATCTCGGAGCATGTTAACAAGACAGTTTTTGGTATTTGTAAATCATGGGACTGCTTTGGGGTTAACTGTTCTCGTTTTGCTTAATTAAAATATAACCTGTTGGATACACTCCTTAAGAATCGCACTGGAGTGAAAAACGTGTTTGTTATGGTGAGATTTTTAGTCCCGTTATAGGTATATTCAACACTGGTAGCAAGCGAACAATGTAATAGCCGTGAACATTCCGTTTGAGTGGTCCAGAGTATGTTACGGTCTCCTTTCGCAAGCAGCGCTGCGCAGCGTTAAAGAAAAGACTTGTGACTAACTTGTAACCACTGATGTCATCTTTGTGCTCATTGTTACTGGTCGCCTTCTATCAAAACGCAGTATGCTACTCTTCCAGGAAGCTTCAACTCCATGGTTCTCCTCTCCTTGTTTTAGAATTGTCATCACTGACCGCCTTAACCAGTTTGTTCGCTGCAGACGATCTATTTCATGGGGAATTTCTCGATGAGACTGAAGAGCTGCTTGCTGAAGGTGTCATCTCCCACATTCCATCTGCTCAAAAGATTAAGCCTCAAAACAATCTAATCACATCTCAACTTGTTGATGCTGATCAACTGTTGTCTTCCTCTAGCAGTGTCGAAGATGACACAGAACTACTGAGTGACGAGGATGAACTCGTCTACAGAATGCATCGTCGTGACTACTATTGGACCAAGCTGTCCATTCCGATTGGGTCTGAGGAGGAGCTGAAACGACGTCTGATGCCTCTGGTAACAGACTACGTCCGAATGTTACAGTGGATCCTGAGCTACTATTTTCTTCGTGTTGCTGATTGGAACTTTTACTACGCATATCACTATGCCCCTTTCGCCTGCGACCTGTTGCTTTACACAGCCCAGTTCGCGAACGGTCAGCTGGGAAGTTCGTCAGACAATGAGGACCTATCATGGACCAAGTTCGATTTCGACTCCCAGCCGGTGTTACCATTCGTGCAGCAGATGATGATCATGCCAGCGGATGGTGCATACATTGTCCCACAAGTCTTTCGTTCTCTGATGACCTCATCTGAATCACCTTTGGCCCCGTTTTTCCCGGAAACGTTCGCCACGGATATTAATGGAAAAATCGCTTCGTGGGAGGCGGTTGTTGTGAGTGGACTTTTTTCCCCACTTATCTATGTTTTCCGGTTTTTCCGAGGGCTTCTATGTTTGTCGCCTTGGGTAGGGTTGCTGCTAATTAACCAGACTCCAATGCATGAATAAGAGCTTATGCGACAATCACTGCCTCGAGTTTTTCTGAAGGTTCTTGAAAAAAAACTAACCAATATCGCGCATGGAATAAAATATCCGAGATCACGAGACCATGCACCTTTTGGGACTTGTTGATTAACATGTTTGATTCACTGATGAGTGCGAATACTATTTTCGTAAATTTCTACGGGCCATGCTAGAATCATGGTTGCGTGAGGGTCTGTGTAAAATGTAAGACGTATGTATTCTCATAGTTCTTCTTATGCGCTTTGCTTCAGTAATTTCTCATGTTGATGATACGTTCGCCTTCCCTTCTTCCCGACAAGCTGATTCCTTTCATTGACGAGAAAGTTCTGTTGAAAGCGATGGAACCACTGAACAAAGGTTTGACTGCGGCAGAACAGAAAAGGAATCAGCACAAGTCCCATTTGTTCTTTCCTGCCTGCCCACCGGACCCCTGCGGGTGTCCCAAAATATCTGTGGTTCAGTTCGCGCATGCGTACTTTCGTGAACATGCCCTGTGGACCGTTGCAGAAATGCAAAGTTTCTACAATCGTCTGGAGCGTGCAATCAGCACGGATTTCCCGAGCCTTTTCCGACTTCCGTTTACTACAGCTCTCCGTCATATCCCCGTTCACGTGAGTCGGTAACTTTCCCACCCATTTGTCCGCAAAACCCTTGGACATTTGTTGGCTACAATGAAAGGGTTGCAAGTTTTTGCTCAAAACCTGTGAATCAAACTGAATAGTACGGCATGCAGCTTATTGCTGAGGGCTCCTCTGGCAGGTGATGTGTAAGCGTCATTCTTGTTACAAGTAATTTGTTCAGGATGAACTTCTTATATTGATAACAGCAAACTCATCCCATATAACCGATTGTACTCGTTAGAACGAACAAGAATTTAGGTGTATCCGGAAATGACAGCGTGCAGTTGCTGTCAAGGGGTGCGCACGTCCTTACTGCGCTAATCCACCTGGTCAGCGACTCAAATCTCAGTTTTGGCGGCTGCACTCCAATCATGCCAGATTTAACCACCGTAGAAGTTTCGCCCCCTAGGATTGTTCCGGTACTCGTTTCTTGTTGGAATAATTAGGATCCGTCACCAGCGGTCTCAGCACTGCGTTACCAGTTTTTCTGGCAGTCAGGTTCGCTTGAAACACCGTGCAGGTATATTGGAATCTGTGGGACCGATGATGAATGTTAATCCTCCTGACGTTGCTGCGCAATGAACAATACAGCACCACAGTGCTGCAATATTCATTTTGCTACTGCTCTCCAACGATAAAAGTACCCGCCAAGGTTATCGGCAGTTTCCGGCAGTATCGAATCTTTGAAACATACGGTTCGAGATCCTAATGAAGCGTAAGTGGCTAAGACAGCCACCAGTTGCTAGTTCCCAAAAAGCTTTCTTTTATTGTTACGTAAACCACATGTTAGTGCCGGCGAGTTTTGGTCATTCTAGGGAATAATACTAACTCATTTAGACTCGAAGGACATCCCTGAAACTGCACTTACCGATGGTGAACACAAGGTATGTGGGCAAACTACTAGTTTATTGAACGGTTATGTGATTTGGTTAAGAAAATTTGAAATTTCCGGTTTACGTTCACGTCGTACCCAACCAGCGCAAAACAGATGATGAGCGTCCAGTGAATTCGTTAATCTTGCCCTACTACTGGTATATCTTACTTAATGGTTCTTCGAGGTTCAGAAGGATTGGAGAGAAGCAATGCACGTGTGTCTTAAGCTTTTTTGGTATTACATAATCTGTGTGGATTTCTAAAGGGTGCCTCGTATATCGAGCGCAGAGCCGACACACAGTCATATCTGGTACTCAAGAAATTTCGTAATTGGTCCGTAATGGAGTCAGCGGTGTGTTTGACCTCTACATACACGAGAGTCTGTAATTACTCCAGCCTCTGTTTTTTTTATTTGGCCGTCGGTTGATGAAGCGCCAGGTCGTCATCAAGTGGTTTTCCGTAGAAGATTATCACTGTTGTATCTTCCCCGTATTGTTCACACAAAGCTGTACCTCTGTTATTACAGCTTCGTGGCATGACGTGGCTGATCTAGCTCACTGAATACTTCCAGTTATCATCCGTCGACCATCCATCTGACCACCCTCTTTCCTTTTTTCTGTGTCCAGATATTTGAAACTCCAAGTAAACTTCAAAGCCTGACCTTATGTGTCAAGCGATGTAAAGAGCTTGCGGGCATCTCGATGGAACAGTTGGCCAATCGACTATTGGGACATCCAATTCGCGTACGTTGGCCTCATTGTGCTGTCGTCATGCCCGTACGGATCATGAACCAAAGCGAAGTGTGAGTTCCCCAAAGTGTTGCCATCACTTAGTCAGGTTGTGCTTAGCTTTCCTTCGGATACGTTTTCCAGTCCGAGAGACCTTGTTTCACACTGCACGCCAGTCACAACGCTCTGATATACGATGTAAATTTGTGATAATCATTCACTAATTAGTGATAATGATTGCGGTTTTTCCTGTTTCCGTCAGCTGATGTTGACCGGTTAATCACGGTCTTGTAATCAGTTATTTTTTCCTGTGACCCTGAGAGAACGAGCTGACAGGCGTGTTACACAGGATGTTCGTGTTCGTTTGAGACTGGGATTATCAGCTTAAGGTTTGTATGCTCACTGCAACCTGAGTTGTAGCAGCTTTTGAGTTTTAATGAAGGTGATAACATTAGTGCTTCACTAGTGCACTATATATATATATATATTACTCTAAACTTTATTTATTCACGTCCACACCCATCACGAG